TCATACAGGGGAAAAAAATTACTCGTCAAAGTACTGCAGATAATGAGTCCGAGATGAAAGAGGAACTGGTGAATTACTGTCTCAACATCTTCTTCTGTCAGCAGCATCTTTGTAAATTAAGGAAAAGAAAAGCAGATCTCTCTTTTTCATGACCTCATTATAATAATTTTGCATACCTTCACAAGAATATGTCTCCTACTTTTCCACAGATTAAGATGGGAAGGGATGGGGAAAGAGGAGTAATGCAATAGCTAGTAATGTTTATTTTATAATCATGATTTCTAAGGCCTTTTTTAGAACATTGGGTACAACTACAATTTTTTACAGCTTTTAAGTGCACTTCTAACTCAATAAGCAGAATATATGAAGAATAAGGCATGCAATCTGATGAAAAGCAAAGTAGGTTATAAAATGTTCCATGCTTGCAAAACTGAGTGACTTATGTTTGCTGTGAGCTTAAAAATTAAAATTTTGATTAATTTGCTTGTGCTGGGTTATACCCAGCTGACACTCCTTTAAATGCAATACTTGACGTGTTGGTGTTGGAATGGTTTCTGATGATAGCCTTCACTTTTCTCGGCGCAGCAATCTTACTGTGGCACTATTACGAAAACCTGACCCCTAGTGTTCAGTGAGTAAAGGTATAATTGAAAATGTTTATTTTTTTCAGAATTGGTGAAGGAAGAGCATGCTGGAGTTTAGGGAACGCATATACTGCTCTGGGAAATCATGACCAAGCTATGCATTTTGCAGAAAGGCACTTGGAGATTTCAAGAGAGGTATGATTTTCATACTCTGTATATGTTGGCTGGTTGGTTTTTGCTCTTATACAGTGATTTTATGGAGGTGTGTTCATACATTGAATTTTGAATAATGGAATGGATTTTGAATGATTTCTGAGATAGCTGACTTCAAATTATTTCAGCCATGTCTCACTGCAACTAGGTCCTTAGTTCTTGTGCCGCCTCTGGTAATGTCAGCATGGAATCCAAGTTAGTAGCCTAGCAGAGGTTACTTTAGGCTTTGTTATGTACTGTTTAGTTGTTACGTACTTCACTAAAAAGATGATTCTCTGTTTCCAGCCAGAAAAACTTTTCCAGCCTTTTTCCCGTAGAAATCTAGGGGATAAGGTTTGCTTTATATTAACATGTGTATTCTTTGTTACAATACTAGAACTGCTTATTTTATTCGGTTGCAGGTAGGAGATAGAAGTGGGGAACTCACTGCTAGACTTAATCTCTCAGATCTTCAAATGGTTCTTGGATTAAGCTACAGCACAAACAACTCCATGATGTCAGAAAGCCATGTGGTAGATCACAGTCTGAACGGTATGTGCCTATTTCTGCAATACTTTCTAACAGGGAACTTCAGAAAGAATCTGTTGTTTGCATTGTATTCTGACTACAGATGGTCCTTCTGGAGGATTTACATTGTGAATCACAGGTTACTGCTTAGTTTCTTCACATGATGTTTCTAATTGTCCCCCCGCCCCCGCACTTTTTTAACATGGGACATTTATCTATTTGCTGCCAAATTATGTCACCTTTTTTTCTTCCTACCATCTTAGCGACACTGGGGGTTACAGTAGAACCCAGTTCATCTGATGTTCCTCTGTTCAAAGATCCATGGTCCTTCTCTGTGTCCCATGAAAGCAACTTACATAGCTTAGATTGGTGTGGGTTTGAAGGCTGCTTTTACTAGTGGTTTTTATTCTCTGCTGATACTATTTACCTGCACTGTTTTGGAACTCAGAATTGCTGTACCTGGGATCTTAGATGAGTACAGCCACAGCTTTGAAGGTGACACCATAAGTCTTAATGATAAAAAGATGAACCTGATTCTTTCTTGAAGGTACCAGACCAAAAGTAGGACGCCGCCACAGTATGGAGAACATGGAACTTATGAAATTAACACCAGAAAAGGTTGGCACTTTCCTTCCTTCTGTTCTGCTGGTGAGATTGCAATGAGATGTTTCTAAGGGTTTACCGTCAATAGTTATGAATAGTCAGAAGTATTATACTAACAACTTTAAAAGAACTCAGCAGAATGTTGGTGTCATCGCATCCCCGTTTTTTTTTTTAATGTAGTTGATCATAGGTAAAAGCAGGTCTAACAATTCTAACAAATAATACTTTTGTCGCGTAGGTAACAGTCAGCATCTTCCATATGTAATGGCTGTAACGGCTTGTGGAAGGCTTGCTTTATTCCCCTCACAAGTAAGAATGGGGTCCTGTAGTGTGCATCAAAGGAATTCCTTTCATCTCCTCTTTAAAAGTGGTTTGAGGGTGCAGCATGAAAGTGGTTTGGAGTAAATTCCTAAGCTTTAGCTCAGCTGTTCTGAACATTTTTTATTTGGTTACAGTCATTTTATAGGCACTTAAAATACATGTCATGTTTTTCACTTTGGGATTTCAACTAACTTGCAAGCCATTAGGAGTTTCAACATACATCTTAAGTAAGGATGCTATTTCTGAAATGCTGGAACTGAGTCGCAGATAGGTAAAGTAACCTCCCCCCAAGCTCAGAGAAATCCCTTGGGGCTGGGAGTTACTGAGTGAAATCCTTGTGTCAATCTTTGAGAGATTTCCTTCATATTCTGTCTGCCTTTAAATGGTGGGCTGGCAGTTCTACCTAAATGACTCCAGTGGCAGACTGAAATTGCTATTTTTCCCTTAGTATCCCAGTGGTTTTAGATACTGGGATAACTAATTCCCATCTCTTCAAGTGATGCAAAGCCTGCCCTCATGTTTATCAAATAGGAAATTAAATCTCAAAGCTTACATCTGGACAGCTGGTACCGCTGAAGTCAGCACTGATGCTCAAGAGCCTCTTTGTGTATGATTTCTCTACAGGGAACCTCTAAGCTTTTGGCCAGTATCAGCTATATTCCCCCCCCCTCCGGTATCTTTCAAAATACATAGCCTGTGATAGTCTGTGCCCTAAATATGCTAAAATGTTTCATGTGGATTTTCTAATAAAGTATTAACCTAGTATTGCAGCTTAGCTTTTATAAAGGGCTTTTTTCAAGATACTCATTTAGTAGATTCTGAAAATTCATTCCATAAATGTCTTTGATATACAGAACAATGTCTGACACTAGTATTAATGGGTTCATTGTACAGGACACCATCTTCTCTGCGTTGGAATCTGTGTGCTGAGCTTCAATAAGCTTTTAAAAGGCAATCCATTTGGGTAGGCAGTGTTGCTGAAAGATTTGTGACTGTGTTTACAATTTCTGATGTTGAATCAAAAAAAAGGGGTTTTGATTCAGTTATTGTAAGAGTGTGTCAGTTGTAGATAAAGCTGTCGATTTTGTGGATAATTCTGTTTGTTTTAGAAGAAAATTTAGGGAAAATCTGTCAGGTTGATAAAGCTATCCATTCTGTTTTTCAGTGAAATGAGGTGGTTATTCCTGTTTGCTCTTGTGCTGGCATTCTTCTCCCTTTTCCTTTTCAATCTTTACTGGGAATTTTGTGTGTATCAAGGACTTCATAGAAGGCTGGTTGAGTATCTGGATTTGTATAAGGGTTTGTTTTGCTCTAATGTTTTGTAAAACTAGGGATTTTTAATTTTTTTTTTCTTTCCAATTGTAAGAATGTCAGGTAGAAAATGCCACCTGCATTTTAGCATTCACATTAACTACATTTCCTGCACTTCAGTCAGCAAGGAAAACTTCAGTGTGTTTGATTAAGTATACTATTTGACCACATTTTAATCAACCAGGTGTCACACTACAGTTCAGTTATAAGACTTAACGAGTAACAGTAACAAGAGCTCAATAATCACAGGTCAAGTAATAGAACCAAAACTTAAGTTTTCGCATCCTCATGCTTGGGTAAACTAAATAATGTAAAACCTGCTTCAATTTGGTGAGGAAGAGCAGCAGCAAATAAGATGTAACAGCATGGGTAATTAAAATAAGAAGGCTTAATTTCATGACTCTTGTTTTCTTAGGTTCAGAACTGGAACAGTGAGATTCTTGCTAAACAGAAACCACTGGTTGCCAAACCTTCAGCAAAACTGCATTTTGTAAATCGACTAAAAGGCAAAAAGTACAAAAATGGCACCGCTTCCAAAGTTTTGCAGGATGCCAGTAATTCTATTGATCATCGACTTCCAAACTCTCAGAGGGTAGGTTTGGCGAGCTGTGGAAATCATAGCCTTTATTAATGTTTGTCTGATCAAAACGATGGAAAACACATTCCTGCAGCTGTCTGTTTCAGCTTTACTTGATTTAAAAGCTGTGGCTCTGTAAAACAATGCAGAATCTGTCTCGTGGGTTGTGCCAGCTTTAAGCTTTTCCTACTACTGGAATATTCTTTTTTCCTGGTGGATTTTCTAAAGTTACAGCTCAGCTTGCACATATATTTTATTCCTAGTCTCTTCTAGACCCTGCTTCTCCAAACTTTAAAAAATCAAGTTTTTCCAATTCAGACAGTGGGAGATATTTTTGACATATTTTTTAGGTTATTGCACTCTTGGCAGATGTCAGGTGAAAATAAAAGAACTGAGTCATTTGATCTAGATGAGAGATGAGTGCTTTTGACCATAGACCTGAAGAGACAATGGAAACTGTTCCTTGCTGTTCTTGGTTTTTTTCTTTCATGGGCATTTGGGGTTTTGGTGGATTCACGGCTGAGGAGTAGTAACTCCAGTTTTACTGATCAGAGTACTGTTTCTTTCTGTTTCAGAGAATGAAACATTTGTCATGTATTTTACCTTCCAAAAATGCTTGCCATATTATTAGTGTTTCTCTTACAGTAAATACCTGTCTATAGATATGGATGACTAAATGAATTTTTTTAATGGATTTCAGATATGCAAATACCAAACATATTACTGGAATGAAACTGCATTGCAGTTGTCCTAGTTTTAGGGGTATTTTGAACTTGAGAGTACCTAACTCTTCTCTCCTCTTCAGAAAAACAGTCGAGAGACTATGGCAGATGAAGGGTTCTTTGATCTGCTGAGTCGATTCCAAAGTAACAGGATGGATGATCAGAGATGCTACTTCCAGGAGAAGAACAGACTCTCAGCTGCTTCAGTGGCAACATCCTCTACTCCACCTAAACCAATGAGAAAATGTAATTTTTTAAAAGTGAAATCTGTATCTGACTCTAGCTCCTGCCAAATAACTATTTAAAAAATGTATTTGTGTGCAAGACTTACTATGGAAAGGAACTTATTTCTAGGCTAACTTGTTTTCTTCCTCCTCCCCAGCCTTTTCTACTTCTGTAGTCTCACCCCACACAGATGAATTTCTAGACCTACTTGCTTGCTCACAGAGCCGCCGGCTAGATGACCAACGCGCTAGCTTTAGTAATCTTCCTGGACTTCGGCTTAATCAACACAACAGTCAGTCAGTCCTGGGTCACCTCATGGCAAGTAACAACAGAGAACTAGATGATGACTTCTTTGATATATTGATAAAATGCCAGGTATGTTTTTTTACAAAAATTCTTCAGATTCTGAGTCTTTGGAGATTTGATTTGTGCATCCTGCTACTTAGTTGCTTCAAGTACGCCACCTTGTTTATCATGTGTTTTAAGATACAAATCAATTTGGTTGATAAGGAAGAACAGAGAACAAAAAATCAGGATTTTTTTTTTTTTTTTACAATTTCTCTTTTGTGTTTTGACTCCCCCCCGCCCCCCCCCACCCCCCCCCCCCCCCTCCTCACTACCGC